GCTGGGATGATGCTGGTCTTCCCTCCATAGACCACACTTTGTGTAACAAGGTTGTAAACAACAAGAACTTAAAAGTAATTTTATTTGAAAGTGTCTCATCATTCCTGAAATGACTAGAGACACAGAGGGGAATTATGGTTACTCAAAACCTAAGACGCCCTTTCACAAGGAGACAACTGCTCTGTAAAGCCTCCCTGGTAACTGAGCAAACGTGTGTCTCTGGGCAAATACCTTCTTTCTGGGCCTCAGACTTCTCAGCTGAGTAAGGAAGAATGTAGGGTCAATGGTCTCTAATTTCTTCCTGAAAACCACAGCCCTACTGCAGGGCAGGATTCAAAACCCAGCCATCCTTACCTGACTTTGTTGTAAGGATTAGAGTAAGGGTTAACCCCAAAGCCTCAGTGTCCACATTCAGAAATTCTCTGACCTTAGTTATAGGACGGATACTGCTGGGCACCTGCTGTTAGGCCTCATGAAGGAGGCAGAGCAGGGAGGTGACAAAGCTTTGAGCTATACCTGTCCCGCTGGAGGAGGTCTGCGTGAGGTCTGTGCTGCTGTCGCGAGAGGGAGACGCTTGCTGTGGGGCCTGGTGCACCTGAATGGCCTGCACTGGGACCTGCTGGGCCACTGCCCCACCTATGAGACACAGAGACTTACTCGTGCTCTGTCCTACCCAGCCACCACCTGCACCACCAAGCACCCTCAAACACCCCCAGACCCAGGGTCTGGCACTCTGTCCCCGACTCCCATCACTATCTTTCCTGGGTGCCTTCATGTCCAGAATTGTGTCTCCAGGGGCTTCCACACTCTGCTCTTGCCCTTCCCCCCTCCCCCCTCCCCAGGCCCTGCCTCTACTGTCTTTGGTTGACACAGGAGCAGGCACTGACCCATCAAGGAGATGATCTGCCCTCCAGTCAAGGTAGGGAGGTGGTAGGATGTCTACTGTCCCTGTGGCAAGGGGGGCACAGGGCTGGGCTTGCTAGACAAGGCCAGAGTGTATGGCTGAAACTTACTGACAAGGACAGTTGGGGTCGCAGTGGGGAGGGCATGCCTGGCAATGGGACATAAGAGTCTTCTCTCAGGCTCTGGCCCTAGTTCACCTTCCTTCTGAGTAGGGAAAGAGGTTCTTGTGCCAGCCCTAAACCCACTCTTAGCATGCTCAATTTGCCCCTTGTGACTCACCAGGCATGAGGGTGAAGCTGGTAGGCAGCTGCATGAGGCCCCCAGAGGAAACGGGGCCACTGCCTGTACTCTTCAGCACAGTCCCGTTGGCACTGCTGACAGCACTGGGGCTGACGCTAGCAGACACCGGTGCCAGGTAGTTGGTGATGGGGAAGGAGGGGCCGCTGCTGACTTGCATGGTGGTAGAGGTGCTGGGTGCTGTCTGGATGGTGGAGGTGGTACCCGGCAGGTTGGTGACGGTAAACGCCGGTTTCAGTGTATCCTACACCCAGAGTAAAGATGGAGTGGTGAGCCTCTACCAGACCCTGCCCCTGCAGGTGTTCTGTGTAGATTGATGGCCCAGAATGGAACCACTGTGCTTGAGATCAAATCCCAGGTCCACCATTTACCTGGAGCCTGACCCTCAGGCAAGTTACTGAGCTGCTGAGCTGCTTTTTCTTTACAGTTTTCTGTCTGTAAAAGGATAATACCTACCCTGTAAGTGTTGTGAAGATTAAGTAGGTTATCATATGGTAAAGCACTTAGAACAGTGCCTGGCTCATAAAAAGGGCAGTAATAATGTCACCATCATAATTCCCTGAGTTCTCTGCCCCAGTGAACTGTGGTAATCACATTGACTGGGGATCAGGACACTCAGGATCTGTTCCCAGCTCTAGCAGTGTCAATCTGTGTGACTTTCTTGGAAAAATTACTTCCTCTTTCTGAGCCTCAGTTTTCCTCTTCTGTAAACATGAGGGGGCTGGTCTTTTAAAAAGGGTCCTTCCAGCTCTGATTTGCCAGGCTTCTGAGATAGGGACTGACAATTTTTCAGGAAGCTTAATGTTTGAGAGCAATCTTGGGGGTTTGGCAAGGAAGCACTTTATGCCAAATACTTAAGATTTAAACTACCAAAGGAATTTATTCATTCAGCAAAATTTCCTGGGAATAAATGAACCCTACTGCTAAGAGTTTGAAAATTATTTCTGATGCTATACCACTAAGACAGTAGGGAGCCTAGAGCACTGACTCTCCCCTCAGGGAGCCTTTGTTCTTAGAAGGGGACGGAAGAAGCCACGGGCCGAGCCGAGAACCAAGCCCAGGGAACTGAGAGGGCTCAGATACTGGGGTGGGTCAGCGCGGGATGTTTGCTAAGCAGCGGAGCTCGAAGCCCTTGATTGGCGGACGCGTTGCTAAGGCAAACAGTGCCGCTTCCTCGGATTGGTCAGTTAAAAGGGCCACCCGGAAGGTGGAGCTCCGCAGAGCAGCAAGGGAGGAAGCCCCGCCTCCTCTCCTTACCGGGAAAAGGAAGGGGGAGGCGTAACCAGGGCCGGCATCCCTAGCAGCCTGGCGAATAAGCTCCCTAACGTGCGCAGGCCCGGACATCCTGAAGAGGTAGGCGGCTGGCTAGTAAGATAGTCTCCAGCCCAGTCAGCCAGCCTGCCTGCTGACAGAGCTGGCTCCCCAGAACCCTGGAACCCATGAGTGCTCCCTTCCTACTCCCCAGCGACCCAGCCGGCCAGGAGGGCAGGGCTAAGCGATGCCCCCGCCCCCAGCGGGGAGACAGCTGGCGGGAGGAATGCAAGGGCCCTGCCAGGCAGGCGGGCTGCAGGCGGGAGGCCGGCGTGGAGCCGGAGCCGGCCTTATATGGGCACGGAGGCCGCCCGCTTATCTAGGGGGCCGGCCTCCTGTCAGGATAGCGAGGATGGACACCTGTACCCTAGGATGTGGGGCACTAAACCGACTCCACTCCACATCACGGGGCACCTGTCCACCTGTCCTGGGTGAGGGAGAAAGAGAGAGACCCCCTCCCCTCTCTGCCGGTCAAGTCCCTCCCCTTCCTTCCCCTTAGATAGAGGACCCAAACACACCTTGGTCTCCCCACTGCTGTCGGACTCCGACACCTGGTAGGTGAGGTCTGTCTCTTCAAAGCCCGTGGCACTCATTCTCTGGTCTGTGGTGGGGTCTGAGCGGGGTGGAGAGTCTGGCGAGTTGAGGCAGGTCTGAATCAGTGCCTTGCCAGTCTCACTGGTGATCATGGGCTGCAGTTTGCGGGTGGCAAAGGTATACACATGGCCTGTCTCACTGGCCACCAGCAACAGCACCTGTGTCCCTGTCAGCGTGGACAGCTCATAGGCCTGGGGGTAGGGGGGAGGAGATGGGTAGGTCAGCAAAACTTTTAATCTCTACCTTCCTTGGGAAGTAGGAAAGAGAGGGAAGTACACAGTGATATCAAGCCCCCACTCCCAAAGTGACTTTCCTCTCCAATGACTCTAAGGGGGTCCTATCAGGATATCTGAAGGTGAGCTGAAGAGTAGAAAAACCCCATGCTCCTTTGAGGAACAGCTCCACTGACCTGCAGATACCCCAAGCAAATAGTCACAGCTCCCAGTGAAAGAACATACAACCTAAGCAGACACGGAGGGGCCCAGGGAGCTGCTCCTCACTACAGCTTGGTGCCCAGAGCCTCATGAAGAGATGACTCCTACCACCTCCTCACGGTCACAGGGACCAGGATGAAGTTGCAACTACACTGGAGGTCACAGAGATGTTAGGGATAAGGGGCCACTTAGGCTCCAAAATGTCCTTGTTTCTTCCCAGAAACTGCACAGGTGCTAACCTGTTGCCATTTGTTCTGTTCTATAATACTAGGCTCCCCTTTTTTTCTTTCTTTGTCTTGATACAACCGTGTCTGAAGTGATGGGAGATGGCAGATAGATTAGCAGCTACCCCTGCCGTAAGCCCAGGAAGGGGACCTTCAAGGATGGCCCCATAGGTGGCATCCTCACTCCTAACAAAGTTCCACAACCTACTCACTGGAAGCAGCCTTGGTTTCTATATGGGACAGATATAAACACCAGCCAATGTTCCCAGAGTTCTAGCTTCTTGTTTCTCAATTCCTCTGCTTCCATCCCTCCCCATATCTTCTATAACCCAAGATAACTCCTCTCCTCATTCCTTTCACTGCACCATCAGCCAGAAGAGGAGGCATTTCTAGATACTTCTGCAAAGCTTCTCCCCAAACTCCATGCACAGATTTTTCCCTAGGGCTGGATATCCCAGTTGTCCCAAAGGCAAATGGTTCTGAAGCCTGCAGCGAGTGTGCCGGCTTCCAGTGGATGCACAGAAGAGACGCGGACATTGCTGGACCTGGTTTCTGATGCTCAGGGCAGCATCAGTTCTACTGCCCTGCTCCCTTACCTGGGGCTTTTGAACCCCATTCGGTCATCAGCCCTGTCCGTCCTTCCAGCCAGCACTACTCTAGTGATGCCCACCTTCCTCCCACACATGTTGGCTCATTGTTATTATGCAGCTCCAGCTTCCTCACCCCCATACCTTCTCTTCTGTTCCCTGCTTTTCCGGCGCCCTCCCCCAAACACCAGAGAGCACTGGACCTACTGACCCCCGGGTCTCATTAACTACCTCCCCGGCAGCCTCGCAGCCTCCCACTACCACTCCTCATCCCGCCGCTCTGCAAGGGCCCCGTTCCTCTCTCGCGCCCGTCACTCCCACCTAGGTGCCTTTCCCCTCTTTTCTGGACGTTCGCTGCATCTCCCCTCTCCCCACATTTCCCTGGCGGCCCCTCCCCTTTCACCCTTCCCGGGGCAACAGCCATCCCCTCCCACACACCTCCTGCAGACTCGCCGCCTCTCACCTCCGCCTCGGCTCTGCCTTCCTCCCGGGCTCCCCTTGCGCGTCCCCACCCTCCCGGTCCCCCGTGGCCAGCCAACCTCCCGGCTGGGTACCTTCTTCATGATGCCCGTCTTCCTCTTGCTGAAGGTCGTGTAGCGCCGCAGCTTGTTGTCGATGAACTCCATCTTGATCTTCACGCGGCCCCGAGTCTTCTTACCCGGCTTGGCCCCGCTCACCGCGCCGCTCACCGGCCCGTAGCCCCCGGTGGCCGCCGCCGCCGCCTCGGGCCCACCGACCCACCACCGCCGAGCTCCATCTCGCTCAGGCTCCGCTTAAGGCCGCGCCGCTCCGCGCCCAGCTCCTCCTCCTCGCCCGACTCCGAATCGCCCTCGCTGCCGCTGTAGAGGGCCCCCCGCGGTGGGCGCCGGGGTGGTTGTCGCTGCTGCTGCAGCCTCCCGCTCGAGCCGGCCGGGCCCGAGCCCTGCGCCGTTCCC